CCCAGGAAGCTGGAGACTCCCGCTGTGTGTCTGCACCCATAGTAGCCACTCTGGTCAGTTTGAAAAAACAGTAAAAAAGAGAAAGCTGTACATTGGCAGGGCAATATACAAAACAACACAGAAGTTCCACAGCACACTAACAAACTAGCCAGTAAAAACTAAACTGTTCCAACTACACAGGCTTTTTCTTTGTTTACATTTACTTGTATAACCACACTGCCACATCAAGGCACCTCTGAAATATGTGGTCCCTTCCTAAAACCAACAAATCTTCTTTGTTGCAAAACAAAGCATTTATAGAAAGTGTGCAAAAACAAATATGTATATTACTGTATTTAAATATTAACATATTAAACATATAAACCTAGTATTTGTTATCCCCAAATTTCATATACCTGATATGTGTCTGTGTTGACATGAACTTGTTCAAAAAAGTATCCTGTTCTCTATGCATTGCTTCCTTTGTGTGAAATCCATGGTGTTCCTGCCAGTATGCCCACGGGTGTATTTACCACAAAGCAAACAAGGTATTTGCCTAGGGTGGCATTTTTCAGGGGGGTAGCAGCATTTTTCAGGGGGGAAGCGCCACCCCCAGAAAGAAGGGATGGAAGAAGGGAAACACGCAGCATGGGGACCAGGTGGGATCTGAGAAAGGCTGCGGGCTTCTTGATGGTGTATGCAGAGCATGGCTGTGAAGGTGAGTTTCTTCTCTCTATTGCTGGGGTGGGGGGTTGCCAGTGTATGGGGGGCAGTGGTAGTGGAAGGCTCTCTTGGGTGGGGGGACGGCTGGGGTGTTGTTGGGCAATGTCAGGCTCTCCTCATGCGGGAGAGGGGTTTTGATCGGTGTCAGGGTCTCACCGTGGTGATGGTGGGGGGGGGGGATTTTTGTATTGCCTAGGGCAGCATGAAACCTAAATACACCACTGAGTATGCCCCTGAAGTCCTATTTAAAACTGACCACACTAGGCATAGAAGCACATCCTTCCCAGGGTGGTCAGTTTTCTGGCTGTACTGGCTTCCAGTCCTCCAATGGTCAGACTTGTTCTGATACCCCCCCCCCCCTGCATAGCTCTTCACTGGGAAGGTCAAAGGAGCAAGGGCTTCTTTTAGGCGACAAGTTTGTCGTGCAACAAAACTGCACCACATTTTAGGTGCCATTGAAAATAATGGCACCTGAACCTGTGTTTTGTGATGGTGGGCAGAATAACAACATTTTAGCCACAATCTCAAAACACTCAGGTGTGAATGGAGCCATCCTGGTTTACACATATGCGTCTCTAGATCCGTTTTCAAACACACAGATTCACATGACAGGCTAGACATTAGGTGTTCCTATTGAGGTGGTTCACAAAGATGCGATCCACATGTATTGTGTTTTAAGTGCTATTACGAAAAGGGTCCCCGTGCGTGTTTTTGTAGCGGTGCGTTCTGCACTTGCAAATGATAAAGTAGAGTTGAATGCGTAGTAAATGTTCACATAGGATTGCTATTGACACAAGTTTTTGCATGAAGTGAATGGAGGGTATTTTTGCATTGAAGTGAATGGGAGGTGTTTTTGCATTGAAGTCAATGGGAGGCGATTTTGCATTGAAGTCACTGAGATGCAATTTTGCATTGAAGTCATTGGGAGGCAGTTGTGGAGAGAGACAGCTGGCAAAATCGCACCTGTACCCTAATTGCCCAGGAATGGTATTCACAAAGAAGCACTGTGATTTCAGCACACATGTGTGAACCCAGGCTAAAGAGCAGGGCTGAATGTAAAAAAACCCCCCACCTGCCTGGCACTGCATGTCCAGGGCATCAGGCGATATGATTTGCACATGCCTGTATTAGGGGCCCTCCTACGCTAAATCAATTTTATCCAATAAGATCTTCCACAATTTTATTTTTGTAGGGGGGGGGGGGGAGTTCGAAGAAAACACTGATTGATTGGTATGAGCTTCCAAAAACTTGACAGACACCTGCGTTCACATAACATTTGCATTACATTTCTCTGAAATCTCTCTTTACCACATTATTAGCATACCAGTTTTGCATATCAAATTCTGAGAAATACAGCAAATCTAATTCCACATATTACAGAACGATGGATAGATCACTGTACCTTGGCAAGATGAGATTTTGACGACGGCTGGGTATGACCTCTCGGAGTGGCGGCTACTCCTTTTATCTCAAGAGTCATTCTGAAATCTACAAAATTTGGTTAAAAAGAAATATTAATAGCTCACTCTAATCACTGTTCAAAAGTCCAAAAAGACTACTTTTTAAACTGATATGTAAAAAACCCAATTTTTTTTTATCCTATCCTTAATTACTTTCAATAAAAAAAAATCTCTTTTAGCCTGAGTTCACATATATGCCAACCAGGACTCATTGCAATTTAAAAGGATGGTGCGATGCAATTCGATGCGAATTGTTAAAGTGTATCAGATTGGAAATTGCAACCACACTGAAAATTGCACAAGAACCCTTTTAAAATCGCACTGTAGCCAGCCTACGTGTATGTGAATTGGCTCTGCAGAAAAGTGTTTCATTTCACATGTCATCAGTGCAATTCAAAACGCATCCGAATTTGCATATATGTGAACCGAGGCTCAATGCACATTTATTTATTTGACGTACTTATATAGCGCTGTCAATTTACACAGCGCTTTACATATATATTGTACATTCACATCAGTCCCTAACCCTCAAGGGGCATACAATCTAAGGTCCCTAACTTACATTCATATATACACATACTAGGGCCAATTTAGACCGCATCCAATTAACGTGCCAGAATGTCCTTGGAATGTCCTTGGAAACCGGAGTACCTGGAGGAAACGTACGCAGGCACAGGGAGAAGATGCAAACTCCAGGCAGGTGGTGCCGTGGCTGGGATTTGAACCAATGACCCTAGTACTGCCAGTCGGACGTGCTAACCATTTAGCATGTGAAAATGAGTAGAGTCAGGTGAGTGTTTCTCACAAAATAGTATTCCAGAGTCAGTATTTTTTCCTATGAAAGAATATTCCTGACATGTGGGGAGTGCGTATCCAGGCCTGTGTGGCCTACAAAGACAGATAGTTTGATAAAGTGCCACAAGCTCATAATGTTGAAAATGGGTTAATACAACATGTTGTCAATAATGAAATAGTGAGACAGAGGGATAATGTCCCTTGTGAAGTTGTGGAGCAGCTCATATCCACTGATTCTGAGAGGATGTTAGTGGATATCATGCATAGCAATGCTCTGGGGGAGCGACTGTCTTTTGAGTTGGGTATGGATGAGGCAACCTCCAGCTCTCTTTTATAAGATCCCTTATAGAAATGCCAGGTTCTCTAGATGATCACCTTTATGACAAATATGATGAAAGACATGTGTAAACTGTGGAATATTCATCTGCTATGTACTGCTATGCCTCTGACTGATGGATGGGCTGGTACTGTGGAGTATCAATACTTAGAAGTGTGCTTAAGGCTGTGCAGAGCAGAGATGGATTAGATTAGGACCAATTGGTAGAATATTTGTTAAACTGGAACTCCAACTTACACCTATGCAGCCTAAAAATGGATCCCTCTCCCCTTCTAACACCTATGCTAACTTGTGTAAGAAAGATGTATATACTGTACTTACCAATTTCCAGGTTCCTCCAGTCCAGTAATATGATCTCCCCGTGTCAGAAAACAGTGACTACAGGGCAGAGGGGAGAGCGGTCAGACAAAGGCTAATAAAGAATGCAGCAATGATGTCACCCATAGGCTTCAATGGCCCATCTGTTATTGGAGCTTACTCCTCTTCCATGCAGCCATGCTGGCTGACACAGGGGAGCTGAGTCACATGACCAGACCAGATCAACCTGAAAAATAGGTAAGTATATACACTCACCGGCCACTTTGTTAGGTACATCTTGCTAGTGCCAAGAAAATATCCTCCATGCCATTATACCACCACCAGGCTTGATAGGCAGAATGGATCCATGTTTTCATGTTGTTTATGCCAAATTCTGACCCTGCCATTAGAATGTTGCAGCAACCAGTCTGCCCATTCTCCTCTGACCTCTGACACCAACAAGGCATTTTCATCCACACAACTGCCGCTCACTGAATATTTTATATTTTTCGGACCATTCTCTGTAAACTCTAGAGAGACTAGTGCGGTAAAATCCCAGTAAATTACCATTTTTTGAAATACTCAGACCAGCCCATCTGGTACCAACAACCATGCCACATTCAAAGTCACTTAAATCCCCTTTCTTTCCCATTCTGATGCTCGGTTTGAAAATCAGCAAGTCGCCTTCACCACTACTAGATGCCTAATTACATTGAATTGCTGCCATGTGATCGGCTGATTAGGAATTTGTGTTACCAAGCAATTGAACAGGTGTACCTAATAAAGAGGCCAGTAAGCCTGGCCATACATTATACAATTTTCTTGAGAATTTTGCTTTAGATCTACCAAAAACCGTATATAATGAGGTCAAACCTAAACAACATTTTCAATTGTACCCAGTTAGGCAGCTCCTTGCGCAACATAATTGAAGGCAAATCTAAAGAAAATTAGACAGAAATTGGAGAGAAAATTGTATAGTGTATGGCCAGCCTAAGTGTACATCTTTCTTACACAGGTTGGTTAGGTTAGGAGGGGAAGGGGGAAGCTTTAAGGCTAGTTAGCCCTAAGCTGTAATTCCACTTTAATAGCAATGAAAAATGTTCCACAGTCAACTGCTGGTTCCAGTTAACCACTAGCCTATGGGGCACTTATACCCCCTTCCTGCCCAGTCCAATTTCCAGCTTTCAGAGCTGGTGCACTTTGAATGACAATTGCGCGGTCATGCAACACTGTACCCATATGAAATTTTTTAGAATTTTTTTGTGACAGAGCGTTATTTTGGTGGTAATTACCTCTGGGTTTTTTATTTTTCTTAAACAAACCAAAAAGCACTGAAAACTTTGAAAAAAAAAAATTTTTTTTTCTTAGTTTTTGTTATAAAATTTTGTAAATAAGTGATTTTTTTCCATCACTGATGTGCGCTAATGAGGCTGCAGTGATGGGCACTGATAGGCTGTACTGATGGACACTGATAGGTACTGATGAGGAGGTACTGGTAGGTGGCACTGATGGGCATTGACAGGCATCACTGATGGGCACTGAAAGGCAGCACTCATATATGGCACTGATAGGCGGCACTGACTAGCACTGTTAGGTGGCACTGATTGGCACTGTTAGGCGGCACTGATAGGCAGCACTGATGGGTACTGATAGTCGGCACTGATGCACACTGATAGGCGGCACTGACTGGCACTGATGGGCGGCACTGACTGGCACGGATAGGTGACACTGACTGGTATTGATAGGTGGCACTGACGGGTGACACTGAAAGGCAGCTCAGATGGGCACTTATGTGGCACTGAAATGTGGCACTGATGTGGCACTGGCAGGTGGCATGGATGAGCACTGAGAGCTGGCACTGGTGGACACTTACAGGTGGCGCTGCTGGGGTTACACAGATCATCAGGGCACACTGATCATCAGTGCTTTGATGATCTGTGTACATGTCCCCTCCAAGGAATGCCGGCTCTCCTCACGAGCCGTCAGGGTGACAGCTCGTGAGGAGAGAAATGTCGATAACCAGCATTTCCCTGTTTACATGTGATCAGCTGTGATTGGACATCTTCGGCTCTTTCCGTTGATTGGTGATCCGCTATGTCCGAGGGACACAGCGCACCGCCGATCGCCACGCATGCGTGGTTACAATGGGAGGAAGTCATATGACGTCCTCCCAGAACGAGAGAACCACCTTGCGTCCGTCATATTACTATATGGCGGGGGGGAGGTGGTTAATGCAGTTCATGGACAGCCAGAAAACTGTTAGGCTAGGTTCACATCTGTGTGAGTGGTGCCGCTGCAGATCCACGTGAAAATTCGTGCAGCCGCACCACCCGCACAGCGAAATGCAGACCCGTGGGCGGGTGCCATTAGCTCTAATGGCACGCTGCACGTACTGAAAATGCAACCGTACTGGTTTCCCGTGCGGGCTGCATTTTCAAAAGAAGTGCAGGGACCTCTTCCCTGCATGTCATGGGGCACAAGAGTCCATTCATATGAATGGGCTTTCGTGCCTGCACAAAACGCGGCCCGCGCAGCTGCATATATGTGAACCAGGGCTAAGACAATATAAAAAAAAGCCATTCTATGCAACAGTATGACAGAAAGGATTTCTGCTATGCCAGACTGAGCTTCTATTGACTAGTTTATACTCAAGGGCGCTGTTGACACAGCAGCACACAACTCTCCCAAGATGGAAGGACCAAGAAATGATCAGAAAGTAGCGGAAATCCTGTTCGCAACCCAGAAATGCATTAATGAGTCTATGTTAAAAAAAAAAAGAGGTATTGGTGAAAGAACCAAAGCATACATGTATGACTAAAGAGACTGGGGTCACTGACCCAAAAGCAGGTTCTTGTAATTTAGGGGTCAATTCACTAAAGGTTACCGCATGCGATATGAAGGTCACATGACTCATTTTTCAGAATATCGCATGAGATAATAAAAGAGTCAATTTATCAAAGTAAAATATTGAATGTGAGGTAAATACCGCATATTTGTTAAACTAGTGAGATAAATAAATAACAAAAACATGAGATAAATCATCAACCACCTGCCCTCCAGAGGATTTACCCCCCTTCCTAACCAAGCCATTTTTTGCGTTACGGCGCTGCATTACTTTAACTGAAAATTGCGCAGTCATGCAACGCTGCACCCAAATGAAATTTACATCCTTTTTTTCCCACAAATAGAGCTTTCTTTTGGTGATATTTGATTGTTTATGTGTTTTTAATTTTTTGCACTATAAACAAAAAAAGACCATCAATTTTGAGAATAAAAGCAGTATTTTTGACTTTTTGAATATGTCCAATAAAAAAATTTTAAAAAAATCAAATTTCGTCATAAATTTAGGCCAAAATGTATTCTGCTACATGTCTTTGCTTAAAAAAAATCCCAATACGTTTAAATGAATTGGTTTACGTGAAAGTTTTTAGCATTTATAAATGGTGGTATATATACTGGAATTTTTTTTTTTTACAAGTAATGGCGGTGATCAGCGACTTACAGTGGGACTGCGGTGGGCATTCTGACACTGTGGGGAACCGACTTGGTGTCACTGACATCCTCAGTGACACCAATGCAGTGATCAGTGCTAATAAAAAGCACTGGCACTGTATTAATGGCACCGGGCAGGAAATGGTTAACATGTGAAGCGATCAAAGGGTTACCTGTGTGCTGTTTCACATGCAGAGCCATACAAAGCAGTTTGCAGGAGCTGACAGGGGAGAGAACTCTATTGTTTACATACTGTTCCCCCCCACATCAGTAACACTCGGCAATCACCAGGTGCCGGCGGGTAACCACCAGGCAGGACCTGGTGATTGACAGCAAGCCCCTACTCAGAACTGCAAAATCACGTATATATAGGTGATTTTGCACACCAGTGCCGCCCTGTAGCAGTATTTCTACTATAGGGCGGACGGGAAGCAGTTAAAGTGAATTCATTAAAAACACACACACACATTCGTTATTTATCACCAGGTGTTTGCTGGCAGTATTTTAGAAATGTACAAAATAACAATTAGAGGAACTCTGCACTGGCCAGAAAGTGAAAAGTATACAATGTATCAGCATAAAAATGTTCTTCTCTGAACTCAGGAATAAAATAAATTGTAACATTTCATCAGAGGGAGATCATTTTGTGAATGAAAGCACACTAGAATATTTTCATAGTTTCACATAATTGCTGTGTGCATTCTGGTGCAATGTTAGGCTCCATGCACACTGAGTGTAATAATGCTAGTAATGTTAGCTGTGTAAAGTCACATTAAGTGAAATTCTCAGTGTTTTCTGTAGCGTTTTTGTATTAGCGGTTTGAGTTTTTTTACCAAAAAAAAATTATTTTTTTACGTAAAAAAATCTTTTTTTTACGTAAAAAAATCTTTTTTTTTACGTAAAAAAAAATCATTTTTTTACGTAAAAAAAAAATCATTTTTTACGTAAAAAAAAAATTATTTTTTTACGTAAAAAAATCCAAAAACGCTGGTTTGCAGCGATTTACCGCATTTTGCCACGTGTTTTAGCGGAAGAGCGTTTTTACAGCTCCTCTAGAAACCCACTAGTCCAGGGTTTTTTTTCCAGCCAAAAAACATTGATTACAGTCTATATGTGCATGGACACATAGGATAACATGCTGGGGAGTTTACTGGCTGTAGAAAAAAACATCAAAAGCCAGCTGTAAAAACATCCAGTTTGCATGAGGACTTCTATCTATCTATCCATTCAGTCGTATCCGACCCTTGGCGATTGCATGGACCGTCACTCGTAAGCGACTTTTTCCATGAATTCTCTTAGAAATTACTTTATTTTACAGGGTAGGTTGCCAGGTCTTTCCCCAACCCCTACCATGCAGGAAATCCTGCGTGGCCAGGGATAAAACTAGGACAATTTAGACAGGAGCCAATTAACCTACCAGCATGTCTTTGGAGGGTGGGAGGAAACCGGAGTACCCGGAGGAAACCCACGCGAACACAGGGAGAACATGCAAACTCCATGCAGGAGGTGTCATGGTTGGGAATTGAACCCATGACCCAATTACTGCAAGGCAGAAGTGCTAACCACTAAGCCACTGTGCCGCCCTGCATGAGAACTTAGCCTGCAAAAAAAAAATTGTGAAAAAACAACACCAAAAATCACATAAAATTTAAGTGATAAATATTGCAAAAGATAAATATTTAACACACTCAGTAAATAACGCATGTTTTTTAGTGAATTGAATAAATACCGCATGAGTTATTCTAACTCAAAAATTCACGCAGTATTTATCTCATAGTAAATTGACCCCGAAGCCCCTGAAATACAAGAACAGGTAAATGTTGAATATAGAGACTGCCAATTCATGCTAGAGGGATTCTCATCTGCTAAGAGTCTAGATAGAGACCTGGTTGCCTACTCTGTATAAAGAGTATCCAATACCAGATAAATATGTGTTTTGTGGGGTTGCTGTGGGAGTTAACCACTCGTTTTATGTGTATTCCTTCTGCAGACCCTGCCCTTCCGGAAGCTGAATTAGAAATATAAATGGTTGTTTTCATCATTATGGTGAAAGCAGAAATGCATTATGGAACCCAGATTGCCTAAATACTGTGTTAGAAAACAATGCCAGTCTGATACTATAGAAAGGGTTGGGAGATGCAGTGAAGTGGGGGATGGCTCCTCAGTGAAAGTGTAATAGAAGTTTTGGGTGATAATCAGGAGCAGACTGACAACTCATGGGGCCCCCGGGCAATAGGGGATCATGGGGCCCCTGTGTCCTTGCCCAAACTCGAAAAAGCCTATGAAAAAGATACCAGGGGCATCTCATGGGGCCCCCTACTGACCCCGGCCCCCCGGGCAGTGCCCGAGTTTCCAAATGGTCAGTCCGCCCCTGGTGGTAATGTACTCTGTATTGGGGGGGGGGGGGGGGGGTTTCTAGGCTCTACACTACAACAGGATGTTAGTTTGGGAATGTCCCACAATTTTGGGAACTCTGGGAGTGTAAGATTTATAGTTCAAACATGGAGGAAGTTAGCCCAGTGCCCTGTAAGGCAGAGTTCCAGAAGTAGTAAGCCCTTTAGGAATGTGCTGAATGAAAAGTGCAAAGCATCTAGCATTCAGCATTGCTAGAGACACAGACAAAAGGGAATTTGATTCTTTCTTAGAACATGGCATACCTGGCAAGGTGATTGAAAATATAACCTTTTAAAAGTGGCATGAAAGTAACAAATGCATCAATGTAGAGAAAACATCTGTGTGAGCTTTGTACACGCTTCGGACACTTTATTAGGTACACCTGTTCAATTGTTTGGTAACAAAAATTGCTAATCAGCCAATCACATTAGCAACTCAATGCATTTAGGCATGTAGATGTGGTGAAAGCGACTTGCTGAAGTTCAAACCGAGCAACGGAATGGGGAAGAAAGGGGATTTAAGTGATTTTGAACATGGCATGGTTGTCGGTGCCAGATAGGCTGGTCTGAGTATTTCAAAAACTGCTGATCTACTGGGATTTTCACGCACAACCATCTCTAGAGTTTGCAGAGAATGGTCCAAAAAAGAGAAAATATTCAGTGAGCAGCAGTTGTGTGGATGAAAATGCCTTGTTGCTGTCAGAGGTCAATGGAGAATGAGCAGACTGGTTGCTGCGACATTCAGATGGCAGGGTCAGAATTTGGCGTAAACAACATGAAAGCATGGATCCATCCTGCCTTGTATCAATGGTTCAGGCTGGTGGTGGTGGTGTAATGGTGTGGGGGATATTTTCTCTGCACTAACAATAATAATGTGGCCAGTGAGTGTATTTGTCACAGCTTTGCTGATGCATGTGGAGCTATGTGCTCATAAGAAGCCTTTG